CTGGTATATCCACGTTATATTTTCGATATATATTATGGTATATTAGTTGAAATTTCTGATACATTCGTTGTAATTTCTGGTATAATCGTTGTATTTGCTAAGTTATATTTTCTGTTTTTATCCTTCAAGGATTGGTATTGATGAATATATATGTTTGGTATGTGTATGGTATATGTTTTGTACATGTGTTGTATATCTTTCGCGATACATTTTATCCTTCGTATATGTTATGTATATGCGTCGTATAACCAATGTCCATGCTGCTTTCACAAACATGAAATAAAAACAAGAAAAAATAAGAAGTAATGATAGTAAGCAACAATCAACTTAAAAACCATCAATATTGTACACGTCAATGGTAATGATTTCATCGTATTGGATTACGACAAGTTTTCACATTGTGCCATTTCTCGTGACATTTGTTGCATCTATTCTTTGATCTATGCTCCCAACCCGACTTGAATCGTTGTTTGCGTGGTCTACCTGGCCTCACTCTTGCATCTAGAGGATTTACCAATCTTGGGACAGACGGTGCATTAAATATGAAGTCTTGATTACCTTCTATTGATATTACAGCATCTTCATAAGTTGCCAATGTTTGTCCCATTTTTGTTGCTATTTTTGTTTATGTTTTGCTTGCTTTTTTCCCCCGTTTTAGGTCGTTTCTTAGGTGTTACCGGTCCGTCTAGTCGTTTCTTGTGTCTTTCCTTTATTTTGTTGTGTTTAGTATTTTCTTTGCTTTTGTCTCTATTTTCCTTGCTTTTCGTGTTGTCTTCCGATTTTGGTGTTTCAGGTCGTTCCGGTTCCCAGGTGTTTTGTCCCAGTTCGTGCCACCAAACAACTAAGGATTGACTTTCTAGCTCGGGAAAGACTGGAGAGATGTTAGCCGAGAGTCCACGAGCCCGGAAAACTAAAAATCGAAAGCTGCCCAGACACTAGCGCCGCTAAGGGGTTAGCGGCGCTAAGGGTGTGAAGACTAGCGGCGGTTTGGCCTTAGCGAGGAGGTAGCGACATCAGAGGCTTCTTTTGGCGAAAATGGGATTAGCGGCGCTAAGGGGTTAGCGCCGCTAAGGTCTGTTTTCAACAGATGCGTTTTTCTTGGATTTTTGAATATAGGGGTTTAAGGGATCGAACTTTGAGCGTTTTTTATCATTCCCAGACGGGTTCTTTCGTACTTTTTTGCCCTAGAAACATTTTCTTTTGAATTTTCACTTGGGATTCATTGGATTTTTGCTTGGATTTGAGTTTTGGAGATTGTGACACTCCAAAGCAAACACGGTTTGGCTTGTATTTTGATTTCGTACTTGACTTGGATTATTCATTATTTCCTTTCATTAGTTATGGATGTGAATTATTGTTTTGAATCTATTGTTGAGATTGATATGAATATGTGTGGCTAAATCATTCCGTTAGGGATAGGAGATATTTGTTTTGGTTCGATTGAGATTCGTGAGCTTGTCTTTCGTTCAATCCATTCAAGTTGTGCTTACTCTAGGGTTAGATGCTTGATCAACATCTTAATCTAATTAATCGATTTGTAGAACCGGAAGGGGAGAAATTGATTGATCTTGGCTTGTTTGGGATAGGCATGTTCGTTAATGTATTGCCTATGTGTTAAGAGTGTCAACTATCGATTTGTTAATGTTTGCTCTCTTGTTACGAGATGTTATTGAGAAGGAACCTCTTAGCAAGTAGGTTATTTGATTCCTTAACCGGGCGACTGTATGCTTATTGAGTGCGTGAGAACCATAGACGAATATCTCCGATTCCCTAACTCTCAAACCATTGTCTGAATTCCGTGAATTTGAAGTGTGTTTGCTATTTTCAGAATTCGTAGTTGCTAATTGGAACCATATCCCTTGGATTAGAGTGTTTAAGAAATTAATTTCTCTTTTTGTGATTGAGTATTCGTACAAGATAATCCGGCTGACCTTCCTTGAGACACGACCCGGTGTTCGAATCTTTCGATTCTACTCCGGTAAAAATCACTACAACAGCCAACATAGAAGAGGTTAAGTAATACTCAGAACAGAATGGGACCGGATCCAGGTGGAGTGACTTGATCACACGTATAGCGTGCGGGCACGGCAGCTCGTCAACTTGAAAGTGGTGGCATGTGCAAGTCTTGGATTCAATGTCTACTATAAATGCCTTACCATCAGCCATCACTTTATACACTTTGTCACTGGCTTTCTGTACCTGTTACACATATTAGTATATATATAGTATATTACAGTATTTTATAGGTATATTATATGTATATAATAGTAGCTATATAGTATATTATAGGTATAAAAATAAGAAATATAAATAATAACACTCGCTGAATATTTTGCTGCCATTTGGTAATTCATTTCCAACCACCTATGTGGCTTCTTTGCAAGAGGAGTAAAAGTGGCCTTCGCTTCATCTTTGTTTGCCACATTCCACCGATGTTGCATATCTCTAAGCGCCTCTAGTAGTGGTGTTATCGGTGGATCACGGACGGATCGTATGGCAGCATTTATTGACTCAACAGCGTTAGATGTCATGGTAAAATATCTATTATTGGGACAATGAACCTTTGCCCACTTGTGAAATCTAATTTCTTCTAGATATGGTACCACATTTGGATTCAGCTTATTTATCTGTGCTATATGCTTATCGAATTCCTCTACAGTATAGGCCCTCGCTGCTGCATAAAACTCCTCTTTTACTGCTTGTGATTCCGTCTTATAACGCATCTTCAATTTGTTTGAGATGTGATAGGTGCACAGACAATGCGCCGCATTAGGGAATACCTAAATAAATTAGATATGACAAAGCAGATGAAGAATATATTATATATCATGGAAAATAATGCCCAACTGTTACCAAAAATATACTACTCGTTGGGAACATTTTATAT